GTACCTGGGTGGGCGAGCGACAATACGTAAGCGGTGGCATATGGTTCGATTGACAGAGGAGTGGGGAACGGTCAGACGTAGGGGAAAGGTTCAGCTGAACCGTTCAGCACAGCGCAGCGTCAGTCACCGGGTGGGGAAGAGATTCCGGGAGGGGACACTTCCCCTCGAGTGAAATAGAAAAAGGCAGAATCCTTCGAAGTTTATATTAATGATGGTAAAAGATCGATAGACAGGGTGTCCGCAACGAACACCTTATAATAATCGATTCTTTAGCATACCTTCAAATAGGGAAATATCGATAATCGATCATTCTCGCCACGCCCTTGCACGACACTGATCAATAAGATCGATCTCTTCAGTAGACGTTTAATTACGATTTCTGTTCAATAAGAAACCAGATTTTGGTGATAAGTAGCCCACCGTGCATCTGAATAAGGTTTTTTTTTTAACTTTCCTGATAGCTGAAAATATACTCAAGAACGCTACATTCACTAATTTGAAAATTTTAATCAGCTTTGTTGGTACGTGGCTTGGTGTAAAGCAACCTTATAGGTGTTCTGCGATTTTCATGTTTGACCAAACTCGTCGCGCTTTTTTCGGTCTTGCGCTACCTTTTTCAACCCACGTGGATGATTGGAGTTTCGCCTCCATCCGTCTAAGTTTCGTCACCAGAAACTATCATATCCAAAAACGTAGGATCATTGTTAGATCGTCCAAGAAGCTCAAGGGACATGCACACTCGGTTGGATTTTTGCTCAACGGACAACAATCGCGGGACAAGTTTAGCTTAGACTCGGTGCATGTCTAAATGCTCTGTCAAAATGTAATCTACCGAGCTTTCGGAAATATCACACTGTTCAGCAAGCGCGAAACGACCATTTTCGAGCACTTTTGCTTGCACTTCTTCCATGTGGCAAATGTCAGGTACCGTTATGATTGTCGATTCCCGTGCTCCTCATCTTCGACGGACTCCTGACCAGTTTTGAACCTTTTAAACCGCTCAAAACACTGAGGACGACTCACACAGGGTTATCCAGAAGTCCGGGACCCCCCTTATAACTTTTGAACAAAAAATGCTAGAGATTTGAAATTTGGGGAATGTTCCTAGGTCAAAGGGAACTAATTTTTGGCGTACCCAAAATTTTGGGGGGCGCCCCCCCTGAGGGGGGGGCGGACCCTAACTTTCTTTTCAAATGGGAACCCCTATCTTGTGATACATCATTCGAAAGGGCTTAAAAAAAGAAAACTTTTGGCGCAAACCGATTGTTGATACCTTAATTTTTAACAAAATGGCGGCCAAAAAATGGCGGCCAAAAAATGGCGGCTCATTCAAAAGTCTGGGCCTCCGCTCATAACTCATGAACAAAAAATGCTAGGGATTCGAAATTTGGGGAATATTCCTAGGTGAAAGGGAACTACTTTTTGGCGTACCCAAAATTTCGGGGGGCGGCCCCCCTGAGGGGGGCGGACCCTAACCCTTTTTTTTTCAAATAGGAACCCCTATCTTGTGATACATCATTCCAAAGAGCTTGAAAAAAGAAAACTTTTGGCGCAAACCGATTGTCGATACCTCAATTTTTAACAAAATGGCGGCGAAAAAATGGCGGAAATGCGTTTTTTGGTTATTGTCGGGGCGAGGCCCCTTTTTCGTTCTGCGAACTAGCAGTTAGTTCTTTTGGGTTTGAAAAACCCTGAATTTTTCGTATCGTTTTCATAGCATTTTTTCTTGTATGATTTTTTCTCGCACCGCGTCAAGGACGGCGCATGCGGCACGTGTTGGGCCACGTGCGGTCCACGAAAGTTGCATAAGCGGTTATGCAACGGAACTTTCCATCGATTCGCGGCACGTGCGCCTCCACGTGTCGGCCACCTTCGTTACATAAGTGCGTTATGTAACGGAATTTTCCATCATCTCAGCGGTTATGCAACCACTCTTATATATACTCGGCCACATCAGTTGGTCATCGCCACTCTGCCACTCTCAGTCCCTTGGACTACACGGCACTCTGCCACGCTCTGTCTCATAGACTTCACGCTAGTACTTACTGTCTCTCTGCAGTTTTGCTACACTCTCTCTCTCTCTCGAGCACGCCTGATTGGATGCTCATTTCTCTCACTCTCTCTCTCTCGAGCACGCCTGATTGGATGCTCATCTCTCTCACTCTCTCTCTCTCCCGAGCACGCCTGATTGGATGCTCATCTCTCTCACTCTCTCTCTCTCGAACACGCCAATTGTGGATGTTCATCTCTCTCTCTCTCTCTGACTCACTAGAGCACGCCAAATGTGGATGCTCTCCTCTTGTTCTCTCTCACTCTAGAGCACGCCAAATGTGGATGCTCTCCTCTCGTTCTATCTCTTTTTGAGCACGCCAAATGTGGATGCTCCCTTTTCTTTCTCTCTCTTTTCGAGCACGCCAAATGTGGATGCTCCCTTTTCTTTCTCTCTCTTGTTGAGCACGCCAAATGTGGATGCTCTGTTCTCTCTCTTGCACGTTTGAGTACGCCAGATACTCCCTCTCTCTCTCTCTCGTTTCTCCCGGGCGCTCGCTGATAAAACCCGCATCGACTGTCTTATGACGTCATCGCGACTCTGAGAGCGCCCACAATCCCTTTGGTAGATTGGCCTGGTCCTCCGAGTTCTCTCTCTGGCTGGGGCCGCGACAGTTATTTACCGTCAGATTCGCTTGAAACTTGGTTTCCACAGGTTTTCGGGCACGAAAAAAACAAATACGATATTGGATTTGCAAAATACCCGAGCTTTTCCAAAATGGCGGCCGAAAAATGGCGGGAAAATAAGTTTAAATCGGAATGTGTCAAAATTCCTGTGCGTTGCTCCTAGCCAGTTGAAAATCGTGTTTCCTGATTTGTCATTTCAACTACCCAGGCGACTCACCACGGGGAGGTAGCTACGCGTCGAGTCCCACCCGTGCCTCCCCTTCCGCCCGACCACTGAGGCACATTTTAATAGCGTTCGCTAAAACGCGTTAACGCGTTGCGTTAATTGAAATTACTCACCCTTGCAAAAAGTTTTCTTTTTTCAAGCCCTTTCGAATGATGTATCACAAGATAGGGGTTCCTATTTGAAAAAAAAGGGTTAGGGTCCGCCCCCCCTCAGGGGGGCCGCCCCCCGAAATTTTGGGTACGCCAAAAAGTAGTTCCCTTTCACCTAGGAATAATCCCCAAATCTCGAATCCCTAGCATTTTTTGTTCATGAGTTATGAGCGGAGGCCCAGACTTTTGAATGAGCCGCCATTTTTTGGCCGCCATTTTGTTAAAAATTGAGGTATCGAAAATCGGTTTGCGCCAAAAGTTTTCTTTTTTTAAGCCCTTTTGAATGATGTATCACAAGATAGGGGTTCCCATTTGAAAAAAAAGCTAGGGTGCGCCCCCCCAAAATTTTGGGTACGCCAAAAAGTAGTTCCCTTTGACCTAGGAACATTCTCCAAATTTCAAATCTCTAGCATTTTTTGTTCAAAAGTTATAAGGGGGGTCCCGGACTTCTGGATAACCCTGTATAATGATCTTGGCAAACTCCACTTGGCACGCAAACAGTTTCGATACAAGTGATACCGAGTTTAAAACAAAATTTAATGTTGAATCTTTGCTCTATCAGTGATCGCATGACGAATGTCGCAGAACGCACCCGATTTACTAGTGTTCAAGGCAGAGGCGGATCCAACAATTAGGCAACATTGTATTTTCTCCGTTTGAACCTATGCTGAATGATCGATTCTTGTCGGAGCACCTGGCCTCTTCAAGAATCGACACATTTCCATAGGTTTAAAAGGAGAAAAGACAGTGTTGCAAATCTGCTCGATCCGCCAATGGTTCAAGGTGACTCAGAATGAACCCTGATAAAGATAAACAAAATCTGTGAATCTAGCTTCCTTCAGTATGTTATCAGCTATCATGAAGTCCAAGAAAACCTAATTAAGACGCACGGTCGGCTAGTTATCACCAAAATCCCGATTCTTTTTGAACAGACCTCGTATACTTAGGGTTTTTTTTTTTTTTTTTTTTTTTTTTTTTTTTAAGATTGTTCTATATTCCTAACGTCTTAAGCCATCTTGTGTCAGTAAGTTAAAACTAAATCGTCGAATCAAATTCTGAGGCATTGTATTGGACATCGGACATTTTCGCACTAGCCAATTAAATTGGAGGCCCTCCACTATTGCACATGAGTATTTTTTCAAATTCTCAATTGACACGATGTGTCAACACTGCCGTGCTAAGGAAGAACGCCGTATGAACATTCAAGAGTTGCCAAATTTCCCTCGCTAAAACATGTATTTTTAACGAAATTCATGCATATTCCCTCCTAAATTTTTTAGTGATTTTAGATTAAATTGCGTACAAAATTATCTGAAATTTTTGGGAAAAAATATTCACAATTTTCTCAGTGAATCCGGTTTTTATTGGAGGAAACTTGGCATCGCCTGAAGGTTCATACGGCGTTTTTCCACAGCTCGGAAGAACAGTCAACAGAGCTTGGCTGCACTGCTGTGATAGCGAAGATAGCAGTAAGTTTCAAATTTTCGAAATCGAGTTCCCTTCAAAATTCGTCTTATCTTTTTTAGATGAAATCACTGAAATAACTAAAACAGCAAAATTCATCCTATTTTCTCTAAAACGAGACATATGTGAAAGTCGTATGAGCAAAATAAAATGACGTAATTTTAGACAAAACAGCAATAAGTGACATTTTTCCTCCAGAGAGTCAATGAAAGTATTGCCTTCAAGTACAGTGCCGCACTCCTCTGCGAAATTCTAACATGAAAATGTGTTTCTTTGTTTGTCTAAAACGCAACCGCGAGAGCATGCATGCAGAAGTTGAAACTTACGGCTGTCTTACCTAACAATAACCTAGCATGAAAATGGAAATTAACCTTTCTTACGTGATTGAAATAAAATCAGTCGATTTTTAATCATCCAAACGATTTCTAGAGTCTTTCGGACGATAAGTGGCAAATCGACAAAGAACGGAGGCCTCTTTCATTACAATTTTCCGGCCAGACGCTTCTGAGCCCGTTTTCTCAAAACTTTATTTTTGCACTTACTGCTCTCTTCGCTTTCACGGCAGTGCATTCAAATTCTCTTCCTCGCAATGCATACGCAGCTTACAATACTGCAGCTTACAATAGAATCAGAGAATGTTTTACATTAATTAATCCATCCATTTCAGGCCTATTCACGGGTAAACTTACTTTGAAGAGATGTTCCAGCATGTGCAATAGTAAGTTTGGTTTCATCCGCGCTCCGAGGTTCCCTTTCACGAAGCCTGAATTGTCAAAAGACCCATTGAGTTGTGAATGCTGGTTTAACACTGAAGAAATCAAGGAACACTTGATAGATCAAGCCGTCAGTTGGTCATCCTTCGTTGCACACCTCGAGAAGGGATACGAGAGCGCTGTTAAATATTTAGCAGATTATGAACCTGTGAGGGAAGAAGAGGAAGATAAGACTCCATTCTGGGAGGTATTGGATATGCCTGAAGAGGCCAAGAAACACAGAAAGTCTGATGAAAACAATAATCTTAACGAACACCAGAAACCTGATGAAAACAATGAACCTAATGAACACGATAAACCTAAACATGGTGCACAGAAACCGACGGTGAAGAACTGGCCAAATTTACATATCGATGTCGTGGACGAAAAAGGCCGACCAAAATTAAAAGGCTCAAACAGCTCCCGAAAAGTAAAAGCTCCCAGAAAGCAGACCCGGATTTACCTTTTCAGCGCTCCTAGGCCAATCTGACAATCACGCCCCTCGCAGAACGGACGACCACACTGGG